TTCCGTTCAGGAGCCGTGGGTTGTCAGACGGACATTCGTGCAGCTTTCCATCAGATTGTACTCACTGAGGAGGACCGTCAGTTCGTGCAGCTGCTGTGGGCGGGCCAGCGGCTGAGGTTTCGCAGGGTCCCGTTTGGACTCACCTGTTCGCCCTACATGCTGCTGTGCACTATCGCTGAGCACGTCCGCCGGTGTCTGCGCGATGAACCTGTTCTGTTGCAGAAGGTTCAGGATTCCGTCTACATGGACGACATGTGCCCGTCCTTCAGTACGAGGGCGGAGGCAGAGGCCGGACTGACGAAGATGGGTGACGTCTTCAGCGAGGCCTCCATGGATCTTCACAAGACCAGGATGTCTGGTGACGACACTGAGGACGAGAAGGTGCTCGGCCTACTGTGGAGCACAAGATCGGATCGTCTGGCCGTGACCGTGCCACAGGTGACCTGCCCTGGCACCCGGACTGAGCTGCTATCTGCTGTGAGTAGACCGTTTGATCCGCTCGGCGTGGTGACGCCGTGGCTGATCTGGGGGAAGGCCCTGTTTCAGCGTACCTGGCTTGACGCTCAATGCACATGGGATAGTCCCCTGAGTGGGGAGCTGCAGACCGAGGTCCGAGCCTGGTGGAGAGACTCGCCGGGGAGGGTGATCTGGTTCCCTCGCCTAGCCGGAGCGCGTGACGATCAGTCCGGAGCGACTTTTCACGTGTTTTGTGACGCGTCTCGGACCGCCTACTGCGCGGTGGTGTATGTGGTCCAGGGTGGGGAGCCTGCCCTGGTGATGTCGAAGAGTAGGCTGGCCCCCCTGTCTCCACATCTAACGATCCCCAGGCTGGAGCTGATGGCCGCTGTTGTTGGAGCCAGGTTGATGGACTTCATCAAGAACGCGCTGCATCTGGAGAGCGCAACAGTCACCTACTGGTCTGACTCGACCGACGTGCTTCACTGGCTCAACCGGAGGCGGCCTCTCAAGATGTTCGTGGAGAACCGGGTGAAGACTGTGCTTCAGTTGACGACCGCCGATCAGTGGAGGCAGTGAACCGCACCGCGTGGATTCTTCGGTTCGCGCACAACGCCAGGCACCAGCGCACGGAGAGGAGGAGTGGAGCGCTGTCGCCCGACGAGCGCCGGGAGGCGCTGCGGTTCTGGATCCGGGTCTCACAGAGTGCCGCCTACGCGCCGGAGCTGGAGGCGCTGACGGCTGGCGAGCCGCTGCCACCCAACTCGCGACTCGAGAAGGTCAGACCTCGTCTAAACGCAGATGGTGTCCTGGAAGCTGTCACGCGAACTCACGAACCTGCTCTGATCATTCTGCCTGAGTTTGCCCATCTGACCACCTTGATAGTGGATGATGCACACCGTAAATCGTTTCACCAGGGTACCCGCACCACACTGGCACTGCTGTCTGGTGAATACTGTGTGAGGAGACGAACTGTTCATCGTGTAGTCAGTACATGCTTCAGGTGCCGGAGGTACCGGGGTGCGCCGTATCGGTCAGCTGATGGCGCGCTGCCCCTGTTCAGGACGGAGCCCAGTCGTCCGTTCAGCCGGGTCGGTGTGGACTTTTTCGGTCCGATGTACGTCAAGGGCGGCGACAAGGTATGGGTACTGCTGCTGACCTGTGCCTCGTCGCGAGCTGTACATCTCGAACTGTGTAAGACTCAGAATGTCGCTGACGTCAAGCTGGCTTTGCGCCGCTTCTTTGCGCTACCTGGCACCCCATCGCTAGTTGTGAGTGACAATGCCAGAACGTTTCATGCCCTGCTCGGGCACCTACCTGCAGCTGTGACCTGGCGCTTTGTACCCGAGGCGGCGCCCTGGTGGGGCGGCTTCTGGGAACGTTTGGTCGGGATAACCAAGAAGTCCCTGCGCATTACCCTGCACCAGTGTTACCTTACCCATGAGGAGTTGGCAGTCACCCTGTATGAGTTGGCGTTACAACTGAACTTTCGACCTCTCACCCCAGGTGACGACGACGTGCTGACGCCCGCGCACCTGTTGTTCGGGGTCACGTCCATCCGTGGCGTGCTCTCTCCGTCTGGCCACGAGCTGGACAGCCTGAGTCGGCGCTGGCGGCACCAGCGGCTGGTCAGCGAGCACCTGGTTCAGCGATGGACCAAAGAGTACCTGCAGACTCTACGCACGTGGAGCTTCTCTCGGCGCGGCCGTCCGGTTCGGCTGCCCGAGGTCGGAGAGATTGTGCTGGTGCACGCGGAAGGTCCGCGTGGTCGCTGGCCTCTGGCGCGCGTGGTGTCCCTCCTGTCTGGAGCGGACGGCCGCGCTCGCGCGGCGAGTATCGTGCTAAGAGGGCGACTTACCCGCCGCCCGATCAACAAACTGTTGAGACTAGAGGCGTCGGAGTGAAGTGAGCGTCGGCGAGGCGAGTGCCGAAAAAGTGACTGTGTGCCGAGTGAGGAGAGACTTTTCGAAGTGACGGCTCACTTCGAAAGTGGGGAGTATGTCGCTATTCGTTACTGCCCTGTGACCTTTTTTTCTCTTCATGTTACCGTACCGTATTTGTTTTCCATCATTACTGTGTTGTATCCTACCTTTCCTTTACGCCTCGTCATTTTATTTTACCTATGGCAGCCCATTTGGTAACCCCTGCATCCTTCACGAATATTTTTCCTAACCGCGCCGATTTCGCTTTGTTGTATTATTTCGTTCGGAGTTCTGTCGCCACCGCCGCCGTGTGAGGTGACGGTCGTCTGGTGCCAGTGTGATATCTGCTGCCACCGCCGCCACCAATATAATTAAAGTGTTCATATATTCAAGTTTTTTAAGTCAAACCAGAGAGCCGGCCCTATTTATTTCATTTTTGATTTTCAACAATCAGCATGGAAGGCATGACAAAGACGAATCACTTTCTAACATACACGATAGTCGATGCCATTTCACGTGATACCATCTTCTTTTTGCTGTCTTTTCATTTGCGGCCACAGAGGACGTGTTCCAGATGAGCCCCCTCTCGCTCCACACACAGCTCTGCGCGTCGCCGAGCGGACTCCACCGCAGCCCGGCAGATCTCCGGCCGCACTCGGCGCACCGCGGACGACACGGCCCTTTTGAGGTCATCTGTGGTTCTGGGATTGCTTTTGTAGACCTGTGACTTCAGGTGACCCCAGAGAAAGAAGTCAAGTGGGGTCAGATCCGGAGAGTGCGGGGGCCAGGTCAGCACCTCTCTGCGGGAAATAACCCGCGAACCGAATCGGTTCCGCAGCCATTTTCGAGTCGCAACGGCCGTGTGCGCCGAGGCTCCGTCTTGTTGGAACCATTGTTGGTCCATCAGCTGCCTGTCTCCACCCAGCCGCCTGTTCAACGCAGTCCAGAACTTGGCTAGGACTTGCCGGTAGCGCTGAGCGTTGACGGTGACAGACTCCCCAGCGTCGTTCTCAAACCAGAAAGGTCCGATGATGCCACTGCTGCTCATTGCACACCAGGCTGTGCACTTCACACTGTGCAGAGGGGCTTCCGCGACCAAATCGGGTGGCTCCGTCGACCAGAATCGAAAATTCTGGGAGTTCACGCGGCCATCCATATGAAAATGGGCCTCGTCGCTGAACCAGATTCGGTGAAGGAACTCATTGTCCTGCTCGCAATTTCTCAAAAACCAGCCGCTGTAAAGAAGCCGTGACTGTTTGTCGACTTTCGACAGTGCTTGGTGAACGGAGACCTTATACGGGAACAGCTGAACGTCGTTTCTGGCCAAACGGTGAGCGGTGGTTTTGCTACAGCCCAGTTCCTGGCCCAGCCGTCTGAGCGACTTTTGTGGGCTCCTCTGGAGGGCTTCTCGTGCCTTTTGGGCGTTTAGAGGCGTCCTCTTGGTTCTTTTTCGGCCACATTTACCCTTTTTTACGTTCTCCATACTACCTCTTGCCAAAAACTTCTCAACTATACTTAAAATGACGGTTCTTGATGGCACTTGGGTCCTTTTTAAGTGTCGGCGTAGCTTACGTTGTGTTGCAACGATTGACTTTGTCTCAAAATAGAAATGCACTATTTTTGTTTTTATGTCTGTACTATACGGCTGCATGATAGAAAGTGATTGATTTTGGTATGAAATAAAATGGCATTGCACGTGCTATCATCACGTGCAATTTGATTGTTGTGATTTTGTTAGTTGACGCCACTAGAGGCAAAAATAATTCGACTGTTTATTTAGGGAACTCCCGGTACCTATTGAACATGTTACCTATTGCAGATGCAGATGCAGATGGTTTGTTCGGGGTTTTGCCTTTACAATGGCACCCCTTATGGTTTGGTACTGGGTACAAGTACAAATGGGTTGCGGTTCAGGGAAAGGATCGTGCGTTCCACCTTTTTAGTACCTATGCCATCATTGTTCCTCATGACCCTCTCTTATTTTCCTGTTTCTCATTTTCCACATTTGCTATAGTGCTGGTATAAGTTGGAGATATTAACAGTAGATTTAATTGGAGAAATTGGCATTTTGCAGTAGGTATCTACCTATTTAGCATCAAAAGTGTAGTTATCAATCATCATGGCAAAAGTTCTACTCTCTATTTTTTTTTTTTTTTTTTTTTTGCTGGCTGGCACCAAGCAAATGTGTAGTTTTTTTTTTTTGTGGGCCAGTGTAGATTTGCCACTGTAGCAGCTAGCTGATGTTGTACCTGGAGGCTGTGGAAACTGGAACCCCATTTCAGCTTGGAACAGGCCAGTGCACAGGGGTGGGGTGACTTCCTTAGCATGGTCTGAGACATTCAATGAGCAATGCCCCATTATGGCGAACTATGAATCAGCATAGAAAGCCTGGTTTTGACATGCTCTCAACCCCCCCCCCCCCCCAAAAAAAAAAAAAACAAGGGAAAACTATAAGCCAGCTCCTTATTCCAGTTTCAACATTGGATTGACAAGAGTTACCCATTCCTACTACCTATACTGATAAATGATCTGGGATGAATCATGTGCCATACTCTGTATGCTTAAAGTGAAACCAATTTTTACCTTTTCATTTTTACATTTTTAAATTAATACATTTTTCAGGTGAATAAACAAATATGCCAGAACTCCACCTCGAGCCAACATACGAGAAGCAGCTGGCCGCGGAGGTCAGCAACCTGGTATGGTCGCCGAAAATGGACCTGGTGGCGTTCTCGCTGGCCACAGGTGAGTAGCAGCTGTCCGAATGGAGGCACTGGCCGTCCCGTAGTTCAGTTGGTAGATTGATGAACTCTTTTTTTTATAAATTTAGCTTGAATGTTTGAATGGACGGATTGACAGAGCCGGGGCCCACGCTAAGCAGAGCTTGTTGCGTAGACCCCGACCCCTACCGTCCGATCGCGCAATTCCGGGTAACGGGAGAATTTTGATGCCAAAGTTTAACGTGCCCTTCAAAGCCGGACACGGCCTGTCCCACTCAACTGACTTCAACTGGCTGCGGCTGCTCCCACCAACCGCAGACCATCCCCGTCAGGAGTCTCAAATATCGAGCGCCGGAGCGACTCGAACCCGGGCTCTCACCACCGGGAGTCCGGTGCTCTACCAACTGAGCTACGGGACAGGCTCAGTTGGCTCTTGGCGTTGAGGGCCCGGGTTTGAGTCGCTCCGGCGCTCGATATGACACTCCTGACGGGGATCGTGTGCGGTTGGTGGGAGCAGTCGCGGCCAGTTGAGTGGGACGGACCGTGTCCGGCTTTGATCGATACCTGCGCGAAACTTGTGCACCCTGATTCTCCCGATACCCGGCATTGGTATTGCCCGATCAAACGATGGGATCGGGGCCTGTGCAACGAACTGATTCGCATGGGCTCCGGCTCAATCCATCCATTCAAACATTCGAGCTTAATCTAGTTCTCCATTGAACTTGTTGCTTGCTGTTCACCCACTCATACTTTTATTGCATAAAGGTCACACAAAAAAATAATCTGCTTTGCTCTTGTAGTTCTACTTGGAGCCTTCGACTGCAGTTCTAAACACAAATCCTAAATTCTGCGGGCCTCTGTGCTTTTTAATTTTTGATCGCATTGTTTGCACATAAATGCTAAATTAGTGACTGTAAGGGTGCCTCTGTGTAAGCCGTGGGACTACTACAGCTCGCCTCCAACAGCTTCGAAGATGGGCTTTTATGGATGAATTGTGTTATAACCGGACAGCCTAGATGGATGTGGTGGGGTGCACTTGCGCCACCGCCGCCCTCGCCGCACTTTGCACCTCCTGCTGCCGTCCACCGCTCGAGTCCCCGTGACACGCGGCGGCCGACCCGACATAGGGTCGGTTAGACCCCGAGGCAACCAATGATCAGTCTGGAAACTACTGCACGCATTTTCCAACGGTGCCGGATGACCATCGACACCAGCGGTGAATACCTACATGAGGACGGGAGAGAGGGGATAGGTACGCAGTTTTAGTGCATTTACGCAAAGGTAACGCCAATATGTAGAGTTGTGTGAGCATTTGTATCACTCCCACGAGCAGGGCTGCGGAGTCGATGGATTTTAGGGTGACTCCGACTCCGACTCCGACTCCGGCTTGAAAAATCGACTCCGACTCCGACTCCGGATGGTTCTATTAAAATCCATATCATGATATTGAAGTTCATAACGGAGACGTTTTTATCTTGCCTGAAACAATCCCTTGCGCCTTCCAAGGCTTTGCGTTGCAAATATGCGTTACAGATAACATGCAGAATTAAAAAGCAGGTTCTGAGGAATTCACAGTCTTCTGCTTCTTTCGCTGAAAACGTTCGTCCAAAACAGCAACATGGTCTTTTTTCGACAAAATCTCATTTCGAGCGCAGTATCGTCAATTAGACAGGTGCAGTGCATGACGTTGAGACATGCAGCGTCAACTCCGACTCCGGAGTCGGAGTCGGTAAGATTTTGGCGACTCCGACTCCGACTCCGAGCAGAACTGTCGACTCCGACCGACTCCAACTCCGACTCCGACTCCGACTCCGCAGCCCTGCCTCGAGACGGCTTGTGTCTGTGAGGAGCTTCGCCTGTCCTACTGCCCACAGTTCGGCCTTGGCTCATGGCATTCAGGTATTCCACGGCTGACGTTTTGCAGCTAGAGCGCACTATTGCTTGCTGATATACTGGTATTATTTCAATGACTCCAGCCACATGCCTCCTTATTAGCACTACCGATTTTCACGCTCGCCGCTCTCCGAGTCCTGTTTCGTTTGTAGAGAGGAATATTTTCTTTACCTTCCTCTTCCTTTGACTTGGTGGCGGGTTTTCGATGCCTGATTTTCGCGAATAGCTCAAGATCAAATGTGAGATGGGATGATAAGGTAAGTTAAAACGACGGTATAATGTCGAATAATGAATATTACATATGTCACCGTTTTGACAAATATCAATATATTTTCTACCAGGATGAGCAAAGGTCAGATGCTGTCAGTCTGTGCGTTAGTACACGTTTTACTATCAGTACACTAGATTAGGTTCCATCCGATGCCACAACTCCAAAAAGTTTTATCGAGCGGGTTGGGCTTTGAGGTGGTGCGGCTTCATATACTTGTGTCATATGCAGATTTTAGCTGTCTGTCTTCCTTTCCTGAACGATGCCTTTGCACATTTGTCTCATAAATTTTATCAGAGTGATTTAGTGGATTTGTGGGACCCGAAAGCCCACTAAGCGAAACTTATTGTGTAGCGTCACGTTTCACCGTCACGTCACCGGGGACCACTCCTTGACCCATTGTTGCTTTCCTCTTGTCCATGAATTACATATCTACGTGTATTACATATACCAGTAAAACGCCTTTTGGGCGAAGAACGAGCGAGCGAGATAGTGAGCCCTGCACGTGCGGAAGGGCGAGAGGGTACTTCCAACGCGCTTGTGCAAAGCACCCTTCTAACCGGTCGCTAGCGGTGTGCCAAATTTGAACGCAATCGGCCCAGCCGTTCCTGAGATCTGGGAGCGGCATTCTGCACGTGCGCACGTGCAAACGGGGTCCAAACTGACTTTGGCACGGCACCCTACTAACTGATCCCCAACCGTGTACCAAATTTGAGCGCAATCGGCCCAGCCGTTCTCGAGATCTGGGAGCGCCCCCTGCACGTGCGCACGTGCAGCAGCACCCTAACCGCAACACATGGGAATGCATTGCCTGGTGGGTGCCTAACTGTATGCCAAGTTTCAGCGAAATCGCCCTAGTAATTACCGAGTTATTGAAATGGGAACAAATTTGGCACCTCTTCTTTTTGCATTTTGCACGTGCATTGGGGGCCACTCACATAGATCAAGAGTATCCGACCTTTGGTAGAAGGGATGCAGCTACCCTACAAAAATTACCGCAAAACAATCGCCCAAGCAGCTGCTGAGATATGGGCCTCTCAAAATCACTACTTTTGCAAAACAGCTTGAACACCCTTGACTTTTCGCGTGGCACGTGCCACGACGGTCACTGACATGTATCAAAAGTAGTCAATTACGGGGTAGAAGGGATGGGGCTACCCAGCAAAAAAGACCGCAGGCCAATCGGTCCAGTGGTTGCTGAGATATAAGCCGCTCAAAAGCGTTACAGGCCGGGCCGGGCCGGGCCGGGCCGCGCCGCTCATACTGAGATTTTTCCGTTATATTGAAAAGACTCGCTTCGCTCGCTGCGCTCGCTCGCTCGTAATTAGCTAAATGGCATATCATTACATTAATTAAGTATACATTCAGGCAGGTAGATGCTCACCCGGTCTTTTAAATTTTGCAAGCAATGTGATTTATCCTGTCCTCGAGCCCACTGTCACAAAGTCCGGACAGCAAAGACTTTGACCACGGGAAGGACATCAGTAGGACGTTTTTAACGTGTTGACGAGGAAAAAGTTTGAGTTTAAGGGTGCGATGTTAATGTTAAGTCAATGGGAGGTGAAAAACCGCAATATCTTGAAAACCGATAGAGATATTAGCCTCAAATTTGGCATGTACCTGCTCCATAGGTATACGAAGCCTACTCTGGACAAGTTGTTTGATTCCGTGCAATATTCACGTTGATATTGCACGATAAAGGTGGAAAAACTGAAAAGTTTGGGCCGAAATTCATTAAACGTCATTCAAACTAGGCGCAAAAAATGAGTGGCAACCGCATATCCTCAAAGTGGACAACAATTCTATGTACTCCGATTTTTCATTTTCTTTTTGCAATGTTGCAAAAAATGAAAGTAAAACTTTGCTCATCTTTTATTTTTTGTGTGACGCATAAAATAAAAAAGTGGCTACATAGAAATGTGCACAGAACATTTCTTCACACGAAAATGAAGTTTACTTTTCAGAAATGTTGGAGCTGTGACAGGAATTAAGCCCGAATCATATCCACTTTTTGACTGTTTTGTTGGTTCAAGGGAGTGCCGCTAGATGTCGTATGGGTCTCCGCCTCGGTCCCTGCCGTTCCCCCATGTAATAAAACCCGCGAGTCGCGTCGACCGGCGGGGAGGGACTGTCAACACACGGTGATTTACGGTCTGGGGTTCCCGCGTGCGCTGGTGGCCATGAAACTCTGCCGGAACAGAAGCGAACACGGGGTTGTCGGAGGAAAATACGGATGGTGGGTGGATCGAATGAGATCAGTAGATTTTGTATGAATAGCACATCGATACACAGGTTACCAACTAACAACCTTGGCGCCTATAATTTACCTTCTCCCTTAAATAAACATGGGTATTACATGTGAAATGTGATGGCATGCTTGAATTTAATTGTGGCCAGTCTGTCTATACGTCAGTAATTTCACAATCGCATAGTACCTACTCTGAAGCTGCATTTGTATAGCGATTTAGTATAGCGATCATTTAGTAAATTCTACATTTTTCGGGGTAACACCGACTGTTGGGTAACACCGCCCGAGCTCAGCAGGCAACGAAATATGCAGATTGCTGGACTATTAAGTTGTTCTTCTTATCGTAAATTTCGAGGCTTTTTAGTACCTTTATTTATAAAATACAGTGGAAACGATTTTATTATATCTCTCGTACAATGTTGTACTCATTTATATAAGTAGATGACTTAACCCGCGACCGCCTGGGGGGGGGGGGGTCGGATCCGAGCCCCCCTCCGTTTTTCTTGAATAACTCATGAACCGCTTACGCTATCAACTTGAAACTTGGCATACCTTCTCCCCCATCAATTTGACGTCTCTTGTGTAATTTTTAAGATTTTTTGTTTCAAATTATGTT